CACCTGATGGAATGAGTGAGAGACAATATGTCAGATTTTTGTTAGAGAATAAATGCCACTTTTGCGGACGTAAGAGCAAATCTACTAAAATTTATTGGGAGCGCAGAGTTCGTTGTTGTGCGGAATGCTTGGAATCACGTATGGTCAGGTGCATATGTATTCCATTATCTTATCTACTTTATATTTTTATAATTTATCTACTTTATATTTATATTTTTATAATTTTTATTAAAAATTTTATTAAAAATTTACTGAAATTTACAGATGCGATAACTTTAAAATTGATTCTCAAGACATTGAACCAATTATTCTTCAGATATTACATTGTAGATGGGATAAAAATGGTACAAGAATTTATTGGAAAGATCAAATTGCGGAAAAAATTAAAGAGATCGGATCTTTATCTCAAACTGATCGTCTAGAGTGGGGAGAGCAACAATACAAAAAATATAAACAAAATGAAAGAGAACTTAATAGGCGTAGTATAGAAGACCATAGTGCAAGACGACAACAACGTTATGAACGGAAAAAAGTTATTGATGATAAATTAAATGAGATGATGTCGGAAACAAATGAAGACGGTTCTCCACTTTGGATTCGTGCTTATCTTGAAAAATGTTCTTCTTTATCCAAGGCATACAAATATAATCGTCCTTTCACCGAAAGATCATGGTATATAATAAATATATGTAAATAATCTTTATTTAGATTCTCATTTCTAACTCGATTGAAATAAAATATATAATAGGAAAATTCTCAAGCAAAAACTAGTTCGTGAATACTATGAATTGTTGGATGCTGATGAAACCGATGATACGGATTTTAATTGTAGCGATTTGGATAATGATAACTTTGAAGTCAAAAACTAAAACCGTTACCGTTGATTGGATATTTCAATATCAGATATTATATAAACTCTACGTAAAAAACTTTTTTTTTTTTTAAAAAAAAAAACTTTGTTTACATGCTTGATTGCTTATATATATATAAGGAATAGCTTGTAATATTCTCTTTTCATGTATATTTCATAGTTTCGCTTCATTTGTCATTGTCATGCATAGACTCATTTATCATTTGGCATCAAAGCTTGATATTGACATAATTATTATAGAAGCAGCACAATTTACATATTTATTTATATGCTTGTTTTGTAGCAAACGCGTTACTTGTAAAAAAGTTACTTGTAAAAAAAAAAAGTGTCTTAAAAAAGCTCTAAATAGAGATTTGATAAATAATCATATGGAAATTAACAGATGGTCAAAGGGAATGCTCTCGTGAGTTTTTCTTTTTTCATAACGTATTACCGCACACAAGATGGTGCGAAATTGTATTAGGCATTAACAATACTATAATTTATGATTTTTAAAATAATTTTAAATACACAAACCTATAGAAATAGTTAATTCGCCGAGCCGGATCAACTAAAACAAAACATGAAGCATTGGGAGTAAAACTTTCCAGGCAAATGAATTTTATATACCCGTAATATAAACGAAAGCTATTAACTTTCAGAAAATGCTAATATACTTTCGGAACTTAAAAAGATTCTGACCTATTATTTAAACTAACTCTATATAATCAAGTTGTAAATGTTCCCAACAATCGGGTAATAACATATAAATGACTGTTATGCTTTCGTATTGGTTCTTCCTGTAGGGAAAAAAAAAAAAACTCATTATTGTGTCGTGTCTCTTTAAAATGAGCGTGTCGCGTCTCTTTAACATGAGTATAATTACATCACAAAAATATTATGATATGATGTAGAAT